TTCCCATTCAAAAAATCCTGGGGGAGGAAAGGAAAAACGAAATTTGGTTAGCGCAATGTTTCTCTTTTCACGGGAAAGGCTCGTTAACGTCGCCCAAGGGTACCGCGTTTTAAAAAAGGATTTTCCCCTCCACCTTTTAAAAAAGCATTTTTTTATCAATGAAAGGGGGGACAATTTGATTTTAACATTAGGGAGGATTTTATTAGGGACTACGGGCCCCCTTTTGGCCCTTCCCTTTCACACCCCAACCCTAAATAGACTTTAAAAAATAAGACTCCGGGGACCCTTAAAAATTTAAAACCCCCAAATTTTTAAAAATAATTTTTTTTTTCCCGGCTAGGGGGCAACATTTTTGTCGAACTAAACCATTTTTTTTTAAAATTTACTCTAGGGGGTTTTTAAAAAAACCACCCCCCCCAGCAAATTTAAAAATAAAACCCTTTCCCTTTGCCACTTATTTTACTCCCTAAAACAGGGGAAAGAGTGATTTAATGATTGGAAAAAATTATAAAATATTTACTTTCGGGTCTGACCCTTTTTCAACAAAACAACCCTGGGTAGACTTCAAAAAAAGATTTCCCGGGAAACCCCACACAAAAAAAGCCTCTATATTTAATACTCGCGTTTAAAAATTTATGCAAATGGTCAGCATTATGAAACCCAAAAAACTAAAACCCGTTTGTTTCTATTAGACTCTTTGGGACCTTTTCAAAAATCCCCCGGGGTGAATTTTCACAATAAAAATCTTCCTTTTTACGCTCCTTTTAATACAGCATCTATTCACCCAATAACATGGAAAACCAGTGATTTCATATTTAGAAATGGATTCTATATCACTGCTGGGCATGACCCTTCCCTTGACACACATCCATGATAGACTTTCAAAATAAGACTAAAGGGAACCTACAAAATAAAAGCCTCTTCCTTACGCACACTCATTCATTGTGCCATATGGCTTGTAGCTATGACCCAAAGTCAACCAATTTCTTCAAATTACACTACCAAGGCCTGTGGACCACACACCTCAGTGCATATTTCTTAATCAGGTTCTAAGATTTATACTGTAATAAAGCATCTGCTAACCTTGTAACATGCAGCCTAAGCCTGCCAACGGTGCTTTCATTACCACAGCGGCTCGTAACATGCAGGTTCAATTTTTTTTATAAATTCAGCTCCTTAAGTCGTATTAGCTCTCTTTCTATAAGCTTCTCTCTCTGTCCTTCCTCTGCTTCTCATGGTCAGTCTTGCACATAGGTTTGTAGATTTTCAATCCTCTAAGGATGACACTGTTTTCTTTATGCTGATCAACCGACACATTTTAAATAATTTTCCAATTGTTTTGCCAAGTCTTGACATTTCCACATATGATTTCAAAATGTTAATACTTATTCAATACAATCGTCCTCAACATTTTACTTCCCATCCTTAAGCTACTAATTTTTTCTTCAACCAGATAAGATTAAAGTTTTTCTTTGTAATTTCTTTTCTACTTCAGCTAATTTCATACTTTTCAGCCTATGTTGTGAACTTTGGCTTCATTCTGCTCTGTTTCTGGACAGGAATTAAGCTTTTCTGTTTGCTGCTAATTCATAACACGCCTGACATGTTTCTGGAAAGTAGGTAAACCCCCCTTCAAAATTTCTTTATACATTTTTCTAGAAACTTGGGAGACATTATATTAAGACCCTTCTAGTGCCCACATTCAAGACATTTTTTGATATCATGTATGGTTTGGCTGTGCAGCTTTTAAGATGAGTTTGTTTCTGCCATTTTACTGCCAAATGATTCTACCCTACAAAATCTTCAGATGATTCAATTGTTTTCTGCAGTTTGAAGTTTCTAATGACTTCCTATCACATTTTCATATGTTCTTCAGGTAATTTCAGCTTTTTTCATTCAGCAAAAGCATTCCCACTTTGATGTTTCTCCGAAACAGCTTTTTTCTAGTTATTATTATTATTATTATTCCGTAGGTTTTTCTTCGTTTAACTAGTTCAACAGTTTTCAGCTGATTTAAACAAATTTGGTATCAAAACGTTCAGCTTGTTCAGGAGAATTCTGCTATGACTTTTGGTAAAGATGTTGTTCGTAGTTTTCGCGATATTCAGCTTTTTCTGCGATTTTTTGCCCCATTGAAATGCATGTAAAACTTCAAAAATTCTGCTAAAACTTTAGCTACTTTGCCCTTTAACTACTTCAGCATACTTTCAGCTAGAAACACCATTCAACTTTTAAAATGTTTCCGTATCTTTCTGCTATTACTGTTTAACTCAGCTTTTTGCTAACTTTTACAGTTTTGCTTCAGTGAAGCTTCAAACTTTAGAAGAAAATTTTAAGATTTTCAAATTTATAATGGAAGTCTATGGACGGAATGTTCAGCAGCTAGAGTGTGCCACTCTAGCGTTTTCAAACATTTCACTCATGCCGAACAGCTTCAACTCACTCGCTCATCTTTTACTCTATCTAGACAAATTTTACATCAAAATGTAGGGATTTTTGTCAGGATTCAGAAAATGTAACCCTAATTTGTGTGGCATTTACGGTTTTCCGACAGTTTGGCCCAGACCACGAAGAAGTCCACACTTCCCCAATAGAAATCCAATGAGAGCTCTCTGAAAATCCGAACTGAAAATTCAAAAAAAACAGACTTTTTCGTATCGCTCCCATTCGGGAACCGTTCGACGTAGCAACATGAGCCTTGTGGAAGTTGTTCCTCAGACCTTCCTAGCACTCACATTGAAGGAAGTGTGTTGATATCTTTTATCGTTTAGCCAGGAAAAAGGTTTGTTCGGGGGTAACAAATCTGTCCGAACCCCAAAATCAAGATTTTGACAATTATACACTTTTTTACATCGTCACCACGCCTAGACGAAATATTGTAGAAATATGAAAGTTACACCAGTTGTAGTCCAAAGATGGCTGACGCTCACGGTGAAAGAATTTTTTGAATATCTATTACGGTTTTGGCTCACCGCTCGTTTGTTCGGAGGGAAAGTTTTGCTTTTGAGAGCTCTGCTCTACCATGTGACTCCATGTTATTTAATGAGACCAGCAGGATTTATAAACCTTTAAATTTCTCCTTCCCATTAAGGCTGTGAATGAGCTACAGCCATGAACGTTATCCCAATTGGAGACAAAGGATAGCTCTCGCTTAGACTGAAAGAATTTTTTAGATACCATTTACGGTTTGTCTTCAGCACTCGTTTGTTCGAAGCTGCTATTCCCATTCAAAAAAGCCTGAGAGGAAAGGAACGAAAGTGATGCAAGTGATGCGCATGTCTCTCTGTCACTGACTGGCTCGTTAAGCGTTGTCAAGGTAACCGTGCTTCAAAGGATTTTACCTCCACCACTTTAAACAGCACATTTTAATCTAATGGAGGGAGACAACACTGATTTAACATTAGGAAGTGGATACAATATGACTACTGGCCATGACCCTTCCCTTCACACGCAACCCTGATAGACTTTCAAAATAAGACTCCGGGGACCCTTCAAAATAAAAGCCTCTTCCTTATGCACACTCATTCATTGTGCAGTATGGCTTGTAGCTATGACCCAAAGTCAACCAATTTCTTCAAATTACACTACCAAGGCCTGTTGACCACACACCTCAGTTTACATTTCTTAATAAGGCTCTAAGATTTACACTGTAATAAAGCATCTGCTAACCTAGTAACATGCAGCCTAAGCCTGCCAACTGTGCTTTCATCACCACAGCGGCTCGTATTATGCAGGTTAGTTTTTTTTTTTTTATAAATTCAGCTCCTTAAGTGGTATTAGCTCTCTTTCTATAAGCTTCTCTCTCTGTCCTTCCTCTGCTTCTCATGGTCAGTCTTGCACATAGGTTTGTAGATTTTCAATCCTCCAAGGATGACACTGTTTTCTTTATGCTGATCAACCGACACATTTTAAATAATTTTCCAATTGTTTTGCCAAGTCTTGACATTTCCACATATGATTTCAAAATGTTAATACTTTTTTCTTTGTAATTTCTTTTCTACTTCAGCTAATTTCATACTTTTCAGCCTATGTTGTGAACTTTGGTTTCATTCTGCTCTGTTTCTGGACAGGAATTACGCTTTTCTGTTTGCTGCTAATTCATAACACGCCTGACATGTTTCTGGAAAGTAGGTAAACCCCCCTTCAAAATTTCTTTATACATTTTTCTAGAAACTTGAGAGACATTATATTAAGACCCTTCTAGTGCCCACATTCAAGACATTTTTTGATATCATGTATGGTTTGGCTGTGCAGCTTTTAAGATGAGTTTGTTTCTGCCATTTTACTGCCAAATAATTCTACCCTACAAAATCTTCAGATGATTCAATTGTTTTCTGCAGTTTGAAGTTTCTGATGACTTCCTATCACATTTTCATATGTTCTTCAGGTAATTTCAGCTTTTTTCATTCAGCAAAAGCATTCCCACTTTGATGTTTCTCCGAAACAGCTTTTTCTAGTTTCATATTTAAAGTGCTTTCAGAAGTTTGAATTCAGAATGTGAGCGGACTTCTCCTTTAAGGAAACAAACAGTCAGAGTTCAGGGCTGATTAATTACCAAATAAAACAGGCGGTTAGAAAAGGAGGCTGTTTTGTTCCAGAGGAAGCTGCTGTTAAAGTGTCGCAGTCAGTGAGCTAGCATGTTAGCTAGGTCACGTTCCAAGTTAGTCAACTTGATGTTAGCTGGAATCAGGCTGCATTCAAAGGCAGCAGCTGCTGCTGAGTGTTTAACATCACTGAGTGGAGGTCACCGCTCCGCTCCGGCTCAGCGTTTATTAGCTGGAGGAGTAAAAACAGGAGCGGGGGTTTATTTACGCTGAGGTGGAGCTAAAGGAGCGTAGCTCCGCCAGAAACATGGAGCCGAGGAGAGCCTGGCTGCCTTCTCTCCTCCAGGCCAGACCTGCCTGAATATTTATATTCGTTTAAGCACACACCTAACTCCCCCCCACCCTCCCGAGTTTAACACCTACAACACGGCTATGAAAGCTGACCACTGAGCTCACCCCTGTCCGGTTGATTCCAGGAGTCTCGCCGCGCAGCCGCCGCCTGCTGCCTCCGTCAGACGCAGGCTGGACGGGTGTTTAAAGGCAGGAAATCCTGGTGGTCTTTAATCCAAGTCTCCCCCCCGTCCCCCCTCCCCGCCGAAGAGCTAACAGTCGTTAGCTATCAGTTGACCTGCAGGCCGGGGGCTCCACGGTGAACACATGCAGCTCCTACGCAGCCTAGTCTCGGTGCTTCCGCGGCGCGGCCACTTTCTGCCATTTCATACCGACGTCGTCGAACCTTCCGAAGCTTCTTCCTCCGCTGCACAATGAGAGCGGGGCGCGTTCAACAGCGCTACGCTCACACTGTTTGGCAACGTTTGGAAATGACGTATCGCACCACGCATTATTTATGCGTACATACATTTATTTTGACAAAAATTATATTTTAAAAAACACATTTATATGTTTAACTTTATTCACATTTGTGAATATCTTATTTTATAAGATTTTTTTAATTACTTCTGTCATTTTTTTTCTTTCTTTTTTTTTCTGTGTCATTCTGACAATGTGGCAATAAGAATTATTGGCTGTGTTCGAATTTATGGGCTGCCTCCTCCAAGGACGCGGGCTACCTGGACTGGATCCTTGAAAATAAGGAGACCGGAAGAGTTTTTGCTGTGGATTCAAACAGGTCTACCCTTCCAGTGGCATTCTCCGCCCTACGCTCTGTCACTTAGCAACCGTGACAGTTGATTTATAGTCCCCACTTTGCAGATAGCCTATATTAGAATCTGTCCCCTAAATTACAGCCAAACCCATTTACACAGGAACAGATAAAAACCTTTAGATATATCAAACATTATCGCCACATATCTGACTCAATAACCATTAAAACAACTATTTTCATTAATTTCAGACGGAACTATTCACAGACTTGGATTTTATTAAACTGAACTTCCAATATTCACTACTGTTTGGCGCCAAATATCATTGCCACTGAGCACGGAGCAGCCGGCTTGCTTGGTCTCGCAGTGAATCCAGGGAAAACCAAGGATAGCGAGGACATATCGGACCCGCAAAAAGAAGGACGCATTTGTAGGCCGCATAACGAGGAGTCTTGGAATCCAACCAGGACCTCGGCGCCGTGCTATGACGTAATTGGCCTTCAATTCTGGCCTTCTGAGGAAGCAGCCCATAAATTCGAACAGAGCCATAGTCTTGATGCCAAAAGAGCCCAACAGATTTTACTTTCACAGTGGAGCAGTACGGCTATCGCCATAGTGTTCCCCTTGATTTTATGCATATAAATAGCTTTATTATAGTTATGCAGGAGTTTTACAGATTATATGGACACTGCAATGTAAGTAGAACAGGAAAGGAAAAACTGAAAAAAAGGGAAAAGATGAAAAAAAGTGGAGATAAAAGGGAGACAGTGGTAAAACGTCTTCCGTCTGCTTCATCACCTGCTAAGAGATGTAAAAAAGAACAGCACAACCAACGGATATAGTATAAGAGATACAATAAAGTAACACCTTGATACTATTGCTGAAGTATAAGTAGTTTTTTTATTCTGACATGTATACTGCGGTAGCTGAAGATCAGAATATGGGTTTTCTGTATGGAAGTGAATCTCTAAGTACTGGAACCAAGCACCTGTAGTTGTTTGTGAGACTGCACTTGTGCATGTAAAGTTTATCCAGAGGAAAAATGCTCAATAGTGGTTGTGAAGAGCCAAAGACACCCCCCGCTTTGGAGCCCTTTTGGAGCGCTGGTGCCCGGTCCTGGGATTACTGGATGACCCAGTAGGAGAACCCTGAATTTTTTTTTTAAACTAATATGGATTCTTTATAGACGTGGGCATATTTAGATTAGAGATTTTATTGCCATTTTGTATACACAGTGTATAAAAATGAAATTTCATTTTGCACAGCTTTCATAACATTTCCTTTCCTTAATGCAAACAGTGTGGGAGAAAAAACATGGTGCTTCTGTAGAAGGTGGTGAGGATGGGTGGGGGCAGGTGGGCTGTCCTCATCCTCTGCAGGAAATCCAAGCGCTTCTGGGCCCTTTTGACCCTTGAGGTGGTTTTGCAGTCTGGGTGAGT